TCATCCCCTCTTGTCCTCCCAACACTGGTGCCTCTGCAATAAAGCAAAAATGACTTCGCCTACATCCTTCAGTGCATAGCTATAATCGCACATCCACTAAGATTATTGGCGACAAAAAACGTGTGCATTTGCAACCAATGTACAAAATGTATGCGGTTTTTTACAGCTTGCTATAATGAGGCCACAAAACGAGCTTCAATATGACCTCCATAAATCGGTGGGCTCGTCTTTGTTCTATTAAATTTGGGTAAGTATTTTCAGTGTCGAAATTTCCTCCACTTAATCTGACTTGTGTGCGAACATGTGTTCGACAAGATTTTTCTACGATTGTTCACGACAAAGTTTTTTGTCTTTTATTCGTCCAATCTTAATTTTGTAAACCAACACTGATGAATAGTTTCTTGGTGCGGATAATGTTATATTAAAAGTGCCGCCAGATTGGGTTGTTCCTTGGATTTTTGCTCTGTACGGACCACTATCGATCGCAGAAGCGATTGGAATCCGACTGCTGGATCCCCACTTTGCATCCAAAAGAAACTTGTGCGACCTCTGAACTTGAACTGGCCTACGAAACATCCGGTCCCATAAGTCTGTCCGACACTGACGGCACTTACCTGATTCCATGACCCATTAACCTATCCCTCATCCAACCCCCCGCCCTTCCTTTGGTTTTTATTTCTCTAAAGTATATGTAGCCCCGATCTTAACCTCTTCCACGTGATTTCTGCTACCATACAAATTTGTGGTATATTAGCCAAGAGAAACAATCACAGAAAACAAGCTTTGTTCGCTGCCTACTTCATTCTCATGATTTTCGCTACATTTGCCTAATTCTCCAAGCCCATTTTATTCTTCGATCAGGTGCTTTCTCATCAACAGCTTTCATTATTCACTCAGACGTTTACCTTTTAACTCTCTTTGTACCAAACATTTTAGAAAACAAGAATGAGATTCAGGAATTTGGTTAACTGCCCCCAATTTAAACTCCCATTTCGCATGAATTTCTTTAAATTCGTCTATGGGACCACTTATCCTAATTTTATTCCCACAACGGAATCAACATTTGAACCAATTAAACTTTTAACAGCCATCTCAAGACAGCCTACTTAAAAAACATTATCCCTCCACTTACTGGAACCGGAGTATCCTTGATTTCACCGTTACCGTGGAACAAAAATGTTTGCAAAACTTAATTTCCATTCCCCAACACTTCGAAAAATCTGCTTTTCAGTACCAGCCGAACTTCGCAGTAGGATTTGTTACTTGACTATCGAGCACTTTATAAGGCATATTCATCTAACTAACTTTTATATCGATTTTTGGTTCCATATTCAAAAGAAACCTGTGGAACTTGGCTGCTAGAGATGTTTTTGTTCTGCGTCAGGCTGGTCTTTCATTCTTTTATGGTTCAGATTATATCAATTCGCGCACTCTAATGAATAGGTGGGATATTTTATCGCTGTTTATCTACCCCTTGTATGGGCAACATTCGATTGTTGGAGGACCTTAAATGGTGTTGGGTGGGCGTAAAATTTATCTTATTATTTCTCAGGATGAGATGGAATTTCAATTGGCCAACCATACACAACCGGTGTCAAGTGTTCAAGTGGGAATCGTAAACGTATTTCGAATAGAGTGAATGATCGAATTTGCTTTTCTTTAGTGATACACACTCCAAAACAAACATCAGTCAGCTGTGTCGACTGATGCATTTGGTATTCAGAGGAATTTTTGAAAAATACAGGAAACATCCAATCACGACCACAGAAAAAACGTTGCTGGTTTCTGTCATGAGTCCACACGACTCCGGGTATTACGTATTCGTAAAAATCTACGTTTACGAAAGCTGCACTTTAGTCATTCTCTACATTGTCATGGAGAAATATAATCTTTTGTGTTTGAAGAGGGCTTCCACCACATGAAAGACAGTTCAAAGTCCTTCTTCATCGTTAACAAAGCCTCCAATGTTAATTTTGTGGAACCTCACTAAGGTAGGTGAAAACAGATTATAGCAAAGCAGTTCGCTTAATAACCTCGTTGGCTTTTTACTCACCACTACAACAACGGTTCACATCTGTAGGTATCTGATTGCTTCTGATTGCTTTTAGGCTGGAGCACTAAATTAACCCTTACGCTTCTTTCCACTGCTTAACAGTCACTAGTAAAAAATGATACTAACACTAACCAGACTGATTAGATTTGCAAGCGGATTAGATATGCGTCTTCCAGCGTACAAGGTGGAGTGACAAAAATCGACGTCGCCATAACTCCGGGTAAATTATTCAATGTGCCTAAGAGTACACGTGAGCAGACAGTGTGCTGCGTATTTCTGTTGAGTGAATTTTATTTGGCATTCCCGCATGCAGAGTGAGCTCGAGGCACATGCTTCTCCCCGTGCCGATGAATCACACATTGTGACTTCCGTTTTATTCAGAGCCGCCAATGTCCTGATGCACCGTTTGTTCTGCACGGGGATGGGTGAACCACAGTGTTTTCTCACCCTGTATACAATGATGTGGAGAAATCCAACTTAAGGGCGGAAATTAATCGTCTACCCTTACTTGCTACCACCCGCAAATCAGAATGGCTATCCGTTTGAGTGGAATTATCAGTATTTATTGTCGTCCCCACCGACCTCAAGAGTTGTTCGACCTATCAATCATTCAGTCCACCAGTGACTGAATCGAGAACTACTTCAAAGCTATTTGCGATCCCGATTAGCCTGAATATATGTTTTGGACTGCATAATAGACAACCCATTGTTGTTCTACACCCAGTTTGTGTATGGTGATGGGGATTCCAAAGTCCGACAGGTGATGTTGGACTATGCTGAAAAGCTGAAAAACAAAACTTCATCGAAAATACGCAACCACTGGACCCTGACTTAAAGTTGAAACACTGCAATTTCTAGTGAACACTTTACCAGCCGGCCAAGCGTGGATCGATAGCATTGTGAGCATCCTGCCCTTATATGGACAGTCTGATTTCCCCTAAAAAGTCTTCTCTCGCAAAACTAGTCGTCACCAGATCAAGCCACGAAACCGGATGACCAAGGGATGGCGTTACTATGTCCTGTTTAATTGCAGATAAATCGGGCTGCAACTTTGAAACTTGTGGGCGATCGGTTTGGTATTCAGATCGGAAGATCGCCGGTTTGAATCGCGTAATATTGATGAGTCCTAACAACAATAAAACAAAAGCTGAATTCGATTCAAAAACCTACTACTTATTTCACGGGTTCAAAGTGGAGGCAAGTGAAAAAATTGGAGTACGTAGAGAGCTGGAAAAATTACTGAATGATCGTTTTGAAAATACTTGTTGATTTCGGGGAGGAAATGGATTCCAGTTGTGTTGTTTAATGGTCTGCTCTAGCACCATGACCGTTTTCTGCTGCTCCCCGCAGGACTTCGAAATCCGACATTACTAACCAAAAGCTATGAAATAGCTGCACACAACGTGGGAGTGTTAATCTGACTGCCGGTTTGGGTTGTGAGACAGCAGTTGGTGGAAATCCTAGTTGTATGCTCAAGAGTAGCAGCTTCAAAATGGTCTCAAAGTATCAGCAAACTCCTCAGCACAATTTGACGGACACTGCCTATATTGTTCAAAAAATTCATGCTAAAAACTGCGAACGAATGCTGCGACATTATGTAGTATTTAAGGTAAGATCACCGACGACTTGAGCGGCTCTCTCCTCATGCTATAGTCTTTTTAAAAGACCACGGTCATTCCTGCGGCAGCAAAAATTCAGCGCTGAACAGTAATATTACGCTTTTAACGATGTTTATTATGGCCAATTTATCTCAAAATTGACCTCTATCTCACAAAAGTGCTTACATGAATTCCAAGGCTTCAACATTCAATGTTCTTTATAACTCATATTTTCCCGTTATCATTACTAATTTCGCAATGTCTTGATTCCGTCGATTATATGAAAATATCGATGGTGACTCAAAGCAGCCATTAGGTGCCTATGAAACATTCCCTCCCAATTTCCTCCCAGGACAACATTATGCTTGCTAATAGTATTCTTCTCTTCTGCTGAGAAGAGGAGAAGTACTGTATGGCCGTTTGACCCTCACTGAGAATCATCGGCAGTTTGCATCTCACGAAACTCCAGAGAGTATCCAACCCACAATCTTCCAGTAGTAGTTTGCGCGATTTACCCTTTTGACCACGAGCCTAACGGCCAGTCAATAGTTGACCACGTGATGGGAATTTTGTAGCTGAACGATGGATGACGCTATATCCCACTTATGTACCACGGAGTAAACTGCAGAGCAGTCAGCAATGACTGACAGGTTAATTGCCCAACCCTAGTAGGAAGATCGCAGTACGAGAATTCCTAAATCTCCGCGCGTTGAGCAATGATGATGATCCATAATAAGAATGAAACAGCTGTGCAGTCTTTCTAAGCTATTGAGGAAAAGATTAGATTCACCTATGGGCGAAATCCATGGTATTATACTATCTCAGCTACATCCGTAGTTATGATACTGGACCTGAACAACGCTATCTGCGTTGCGACGAGAAATAATACTAACCTGTAAGACGGCTCAGAAGATAGGCATTTAATTCCTTGGTTCCGTTCGCATGGAAGGAAGCCTTGTCCCCCTGTTTTCATGCACATGAATGAGGTGGTGCCTACCTCCTGGCAAATCTAGATGATTGACCTGCTAAATTTTTTTCAAAAAAGTTTGCTAACCTTGTGGCATAGATTGACATAGCTAAGGTTGACGATACACATCCCAGTATTAGAAGTTTCCCCCGTTAATAAAAGTGAGAATCTTGTACTAAACAGCAAGACATCCCAGACGTGCTGTGGTCCTAAACCAGTTGGATTATCTTGATCGGCTTGAAACCCTAAACGAATCTGCACCGCATTAATCTCCTCTTCTTCGTGCATCTCAAAATAATTTTGGCTCCAATGCCATGTAAAAATTTGTCATTCATAAATACGATAACCACCAACAAACTAAAATTTTCCTCTTATTTTGCAGCCACTGACATGATTCAACAAATATTCGGCCTGTTACTTGCTCTAAGCTTAAATTCTCCGAGCAGTGGAGAGACTATTGTGGAACTTATCGAAGAGGCAGCACCAGGAACCGTCGTTATTGATAACTTGCAGCACCGTTTTCAACTCCCCTCCAGTGCAAATTCGCAACCACCTTATGTCGCTATCGGAAATCCTTCAAGTCCTGGGATCGATACACTAACGTTAAAACAGAATCGATTTGATGGTGCCTTACAATTGGTTGTAAAGGACGGGCATCGCGGTCCCGATAGGGAACAGTTATGTGATTCGCGACATATTGAGACAACTGTGCCATCTCCCGGATGTGATATTCCTCTGGTGATCCTGTACGGGGATAGACAAAACCCATCTTATGCGAAAATAACCTTACGTATCTTCGATGTTAATGACAATGCCCCAATGTTCGATACGAACGACCAATTTGAGGTGCGCATACCTGAAGATGCTGGACCGACCGACACATTGGAAAAAATACCTGCGTATAAAGCATACAACAGGATTGAAAAAGTCGGTAACTCTATTCCCCTCCCAATTGCCTACGACAATGATCTTCCACCTAACGGAGTCAAATCTTATCGTTTAACCTCAGTACTGGGACAAGAAATGGATGATCCCCTTGTAGTTCTCGTAAACAATGGTACCGATATCCCACACACGTCCAGATATACCGCAGACTACGAAATTATTCATACTCCCGCGTTAAAAGTTATCCGGCCTCTGGATAGAGAAAAGAAGAGTGACTACTGGTTCCACTTACTAGCTATTGACGGGGGAAATCCACAGCGCACCGGAACGTTAACCATACATCTCAGACTAACTGATTTAAATGATAATGCACCAAAGTTTTCCAAGCCAATCTACCACCAACCAACATTTACGATCAACCCAGATTCATACGATCGTACATTGAGGACTGAAGTAGTTCGAATACCAGAAACGATAGCCGTAGGATCAAACATTGTTACCCTTACTACAGAAGATGCGGATGAAGGACAGAACGCAGAGATGAACTATCGAATAAGGGAACCGCTAAATAATGAAAGGGATATGGCCGTCCATAGAAGCTTTACTTTAATACGTTCAAACCAGAGTGTGACTTTGAAAACTGTGAAACCGCTGGACGCAGACAACCAGCATGGAAAGTTGTGGATAGACAACAATGGTGAACTCTTCGGAACAATGCTACAATTGACTGTAGAAGCTGTAGACTCCGGTGTCCCACCTTTCTCCACATCTATCACGATCCACCTTCTTTTGGAAAACGTTAACGACAACCAACCGGAAATCGCTGTACAGTTTACTAATCCATTACCGGCAGTGGTGTATGGAAAAGTTAACAACCAAACCAACTGGATAGGAAGTTTAAAGGAGAACCAGCTTGGTCCGATTACCATCGCACACCTCACCGTCACTGACAAAGACCTCATACAGCAACCAACAAGAGAAAGTGTGCAATGTGAAACTAATGATACGAGATTTGCACTGGAAAAGCTTCCCTCACTTTCCTCAAGTGGGACTGAAGATCAGTCAAGGGTGACTTCCACAACCCAATCATTGTACTTTTATCGAATGTTCGCGACGAAGCCAGTCGACAGAGAGGAACAAGAGTGGGTGTATGTCCATATCGCGTGCCTTGACAATATGAGCCCAATCAACACACAGTATGGAAATTTAAGGCATCTCAATACATATGCGTCTTCGATTCAGCTCACTGGAACGGTGGTTGTCTCTCTAAAAATTCTTGATATAAATGACAATGCGCCAAAGTTTCAGAGGGACACTTACGAGTTTAGTGTGCCTGAAACTTCATCAAATCCATCTATTTACTTGACGAAGTTCGTACCTGATGATAATCGAATAACGGTTGGTCAGGTACAAGCATTGGATGCAGATTCAGGAAAAAACAGTGAAGTGGAATATCGTCTTATTGCAAATTCACATGAAGCTTTTCAGCTGGATATGAAGAAAGGTACGCTTTGGAGAGTTGGAACACTGGACAGAGAAAAGGAGGCTGAGGTAGAACTACGGATAGAGGCACGTGATCTAGGTCTTCCGCAACTTTCCAGTACATGTATCGTAAAAATTGAAATCCTTGACGTGAATGATCATGCACCCTACTGGATAACTACAATTGCCGATGAAGACATGGCAGGCCATCATCTTGGAAGATCTGAAGATGGTGTATTTTATTTTTCCATATCGGAGGACATGGAGATCGGTCAGACTATTGGCTCAATCAGAGCTGTAGATATTGATGGCCTCATTGATAGTGAACCTATCCAACTTAACCAAGGTGAATTACCTTACGCCCTGCAAAGATCAGTCAAGAAAAAGTTGAATAACATGGACACTAAACTTACGTATAATCTGGAATCTGTTGAAGATGCGATGGCGTTTTCGATCAATAAACACACTGGAGAGTTGAGATTAAGTCGTAAGCTGGATCGTGAGACTCGAGCACACTATGAACTCAGAGCATTCGCTGTGGACAGTCCCTCTCCGCGGATAATAACAAAGAATCGCCAAATACATCACTGGGACACAGTCCCGAAACACCGTTTCACCGCAACAGCAACTATCATCATCACAGTTTTAGACGTTAATGATAATGTGCCTCAGTTCGAAACACCTCTTGCAGGACAAGAATTCCACATGGAACCGGGAAGTCCCCTCTTCACGCCAGGCACAACATTGTTTACTGCAAAGGCGCACGATGCTGATCATGGCGAAAATGCCACTGTTAGATATGCCTTGGAAGGAGACGGTTACGGCATCGTGGAGATTGATGCTACCACAGGGATGTGTTATGTGCGCGAACCTATGCATCGAAATAAGCTAATCAAACTGCTGGAAGCAAATAAATTACCTCTTACAGAACACATTCAGAAGGTCAACTACAAACAATTCCCCTCGAGCACTGACCAGAAAACTCAGCTAAAACACCCATCTGAAATGCGCTCAATCGCTCTCAGCCTGGTAGTGGTTGCCTATGATCTTGGACGGCCGACGCAGCTAAACAGCTCTAGGATGGTGCAGCTAGTCTGGAATGGTGAAAATACAAAAGACCTACACACAATCTATTCAAAAACTGCAAATCTCGGTGTAGATTATGGTCATACAATGTGGTTCGGTGGTAAACCGAACGGAACAGAGCGTCTGCTCATTCCTTTGGTTGTTGGAGCAGTAGTGCTGTTGATCATTGTTTTTCTCATCCTGTTTAGTGTCGCTCGTTATCGGAAGCAGACAAATACACGTCTATCAAACACATTTCAAGGCACTAGTAGAACGAAACAGCGAAAGCCCGGAAACAATCCACAACTCGAACAGATTCCCACTTGGAAATGGTGCACTTGCATAAACTCTGATATTAGAAAGACAGATGAATTGACGCATCCCGATAGCGTGGACAGTGCAGTTCAAGAGCGCTCTGGGAAAATAACATCAAGTATAGTTGTTTCAACGCCAGCTGGTGAATACAAGGCCAAGTTTGGGACGCAAGATCGAGGAGAAAGGTGCAAGACAGCCATGGATTTCGCAGCTCCAAGGTCGGCTCAATCCTACCTACCAGGTGAGTAGTGACGTGGTTAAACAAAAGCTTCTTTGTTCCCGAAGTAAGTAGCCTGGGACAATTACTCAAAATCCTCAGACAGTCTGTTACCGGTTTCTTGGCATACTGAATAGTTAGTGGGTTTTTTCTAGGTCTGGGCAGTGGGAACCCCATAAACATCATGTTTTTGTGCTGTGTAGGTTTTCCTGAACAACTGCAGCTTCAAATTCTTGAAAAACTACAAACCCAAATTTTCAGGCTTTCAGAATATTTTGCGAACACTTGCTTTGCTAGGTAGCTCGGACTCCAGCAACCCAAGCAACTAAAGTTTCCGGGTTCTGAAGTTTAATGGCTTATGTCCACGCTTTTGTTACAAATCAGAATTATATTTTTAACCACTAAGCTGAACTGTTTCGAACTCCATGGCTGAGTTGAATGAAACGAGCTTCCCTGAAGGCACTCTAATTAACTCATGCAAAATATGTGGTTGCGTAAAATCCCTAACCACCTTCGGCAGGTTTATTGGCCAAAAACCGCATCCATTCCAATTCAACAGATGCATGTGTGGTTGAAAAATTTAACTTGTTTCGTACCACACATGTGCTTCACATATAATTTATTTTGCCTTGCCCAATGAGATAATTGTAAACGTCCTTCAAAAACACTGGTGAGACCTATAGGGGGATCTCCGCGGATATCATCCAGGCAGTCAAATAGCACTGGATGAGATTGGGTTGAATTTGGACGTCAGTGGTTGCATTCGTGCTGCGGAACATCTTCAGCTTCGATTTCAGTATCCATGCTTTTGAATCCCCCTGCATTGAGTAGTCAACCGAGGATTGTCACCCTTTCAACCGACTACTTAAGAGCATTTCGTTAAAACCTTCTGAGATAGCTGTAGCACTATGGTCTTCCAGGAAGCCTGAAGGACTAACACTTTACGAGTAAATTCTTGGTGAGGAAAACGCAGATGAAAAAGAACACCAGGGTGCGTATGAGCCTTCGGATTACCAACGGTCAGAACGGTCTACTGAAGATTATGCTGGTCTTGCTTTTGTAAGCATCTAAATTTTACATTGTATGGTGTGGCAAGCTAGTAGAAGTGCAGTGAAACCAGACAGCAGCCACAATATTAAAAAAGTATTTCAATCCAAATCCATATGGACTTGAACAGTGATGTAATGGTAGATTTGAAGGTTACAAGTGTGAGGTAGCGGGAGTGAAACACTTCAGTATGTGCGCAGGGGTTGGTAGGATTTTGAACGCCTGGGGAACGTTCTTTAAAACGGTGGGATACACATCGAGGACATCGCTGAGCAGATTAGTATTTTTATAAAAAAAATCGGTGCTTGAGGCCAGGTGTATACACTGACGCGTTGGTTGAGCCTGATGGCAGGTACAGAACCATGTAGTTTTGACATATCTCACCACTCACATTCCATCTGAAGGCTCTTCAAAAGCTCATAACCGGTTCCGTTTCCCTTCGGGCTCATCATATGGGCGCGGTTCCATAGGATCCTTTAAGGCTTCTGTTCTGCCTGAGCACAAATTGGACGGAATCCGCCAAATAAACTCATTTGGACACTAGTTTAGTTTTCATGGGGGGTGGCTCAACTGAATCCATCTGAATATTTTCATTGTAGTGGTCTTTAACTGAATGTGCTTCACACGACTGCATCATTTTTCAGTTGGTATGATATTCGAAATATCACAGTACATTGTCTAGACGTAACATATTTTTCATAGGACTTTTAAAAGCACCTTAGCAACCCACAATTGGTTTTCCCCTCTTTGGGCTCATCAACTGGATTTATTTCCTTCAAGAAAATACAATGTATCTCATCTATCATGACAAATAAAACATGAGACGGTCTTGTGCGTTACATTCCGTTGAAGATGATCATTAGAGAGGGGAAGTTCAGCTAGCTTCAATCGAGCCTCCCGGTAAAGCCGGTGAAATGAGAGTATTTAGTTAGAATGGTCTTCTTCGACTTAAACACTGAATCATTCTTGGACCTCGCTAAAAGTTCTATGGGTTACTCTATATGTCGAGTTCCAAAAACGATGGGTTGGGGGAAACATCTAACATAATTGCGCGCCCAGTTTGGCGCCCACATCTGATGGCTGTTCGGTTGACGATACATGTTATGTGGTGCTTATATTTCCTGCTCGTCTTTGTGAGTTGATAGGTGCCCCGATAACCCTGCTAGGAGCTAGAGATAGTAAATGAATTTTGATGGGCTTTCGCCTTTTACTTCGAACTAATGAAACTGCTGATGAATTGTCTTGACTGATGACTGCGCACCACATTCGGCTAACTCGGCTGATCTAGAACAACTTTCCAGGCTTTTCAGCTGCCTACTTTTCTCACGCCGTGAAGGTTTGCGAAATTCATTGCTTCACCCATCAGATATTTTGTGAATCTCGATCCTTTTCCCTAGAATTCCACATTTTCCAATTCGACCACGTCCAGTTTTTGGTGTATGCTTTAGTGTATGCCATATGATCACTGATATTCAGGTATATTTCTTCTTTTGTTGACAGTCCACTGGCCACTCACACAAAAAGATAAAGAGCGTTATCCAACTGTATCAAAGTTTTCCCTCTCGTAATGCTAATCTACAATCGGCCGTATATTGCTCCCCTCTACTACATTCAAATTTCCCGGATTTTTGTAACTGCTGTTCCAAACTACTCCTGCTAAGTTGGTAGCACCAAGACCCATACCCGCTTAATTAAACGTACTGGGAATCTATATCGTTAGAGTTTCCATTTCACCACAACTTATGCTGTCGTTCGTTCAACCCCCAATATGCACTATGCTCATATCCAGCTATATACCAGTGAAGTGATACATCCTTATTATTTTATCTGCGTATTATTTAATGACGAGTGTTAAAAGATGATACTCTCGTCTGTTGGTTTAGGATACGGTAGCTTTTATTTTTTTTCTTACTGCTTGAGTTTATCACAAATTCAGAAAGGATGGTATTCACAGAGGACAGTAATTCCATGGTAGAGTTGTTGTGGAGCCACAAAGCACTGATATGCTGACGGGATTCGACCAACTTCCCTTATCTGTTAACAACGAACTTTTAGTTCAAGTGACGCCAAAATGCTCACTATGGGTGTCCACCATATTGGTCAATACCTGGGCTAGTCAAGATGTTGCCTCTCAGACCTGAGTGCGTAAGTGGATAACTAGGTAAAGGTATTGCTTAAGACATATTAATACGTTTGATTCTTCAGGCATGAGTTACTTCCATAGAGTTAACATAGTAACTACCGACAACTTCGCACTGCTTCAGCTGGAAATTGTCAATTTTTGGAAAAGTGGAGCCAAATTCTATTTTGATTAGATTACTTATATGGTTGCAGTGTTCGAATGAATTTGCCAGGTCGCCTGACCCTTGCTTTGTAGGCTTTGTATCATGGATCTACCCTGCTATGCATCAGACCTCGAATTGTTTGCGAGCAAAGATCCTAAAACAAATACAATAATAACAAATGTCAAAAACATCACATATCTCACTGATAACATGGAGGTAGCTGTTTGTAACTGAGAGCCAATCTGTCTGACTGTCTTCACTGCATTCATTTTGTATTTACTCAGCGACATAACCATGTTAGTTCATCAGTATCCAAGTAACCAATCTCAACCCCTGGTCTAGCTGTCGTAGCACATACAGACAAACTTCCTAAGCGCCCCGAAACAAGGATCAACAGGTTGGTTATCCTTAGTTAGAAGAACCAACCCTTAAGCAGCACTCACACTGATGGTATATTTTCCCCTAAGGCGTCGGGTGTACGGTTTGGTGAGACCAGAACTTTTGGTTAAGATCCCAAAACTTCGTTTACAAGTCAAAAACTACCCTCACTAGTTTTCCGCTTACACCCAGATTTCAGCAATTCGCCGAAATATCCAACTCCCGCAAAAAGATATGCCGTGGCTCAGCAGCAACTCGGCGATAGTTCTTCACACGAAGCCTCCACCTGGACCGAACAGCAGATCATCAAACTTACTTCACAGCATGGCAAACGATATAAATTTAACGAACCATTTTCGACATATTTCAAGCTAGCGTTATAGCGGGAATTGTGTCGAAACTTTGCAAATTATATGCTCGGTGAGTATACTGATTAGTCCCGAGCTGTTTTACCTCAAGTTTGACATTTTATTTTCTAAATCCACATTTATAAACGTGAAGTTCATGGAAGTTCGCCGACTAAACAACCTCTATTCTCAGTCCGATCTGCTGCCAGTGCCCAGTGGAACATTTATTCACCTAATTTTGAGCACATTGATAAGTGAACATTTTTGAATAGTTTCACGTTTTTCTTTCTCTGCGGGAAGCCTTACCAGGCATTATCAACTGTTTACAACCAAGATATGGACTGCACATATGTATGTAGCTGAAACAACACACACATTCTCTAAACTGGAACAGGTGTTTGCTTCCAGTCTAGGTTCCTTCAACGAAGCGCACTGGACAGGGTACGAAAAAAAACAGGGAAGCAGCTGCGCCGGAATTGATAAAACTGATAACGGAGCTCTGCAAAGACTGAGCAGGCAACATCAAATATGCACGTTGTCCGGAAAATGATGTACATACAAAAATCGCACTGATATACTTTTCTGGAAACACGAAGGACAACAGTAAAATTGATCTGCCAAATTTGTGAATCACATCTGTCGCACTCTACATACTTTCTTATCATTGTATCAAACCAGTAGACGTGAATGGCATATACATGAACACTGGTATTCTGTTTGGTGTGTTTCCATCAATAAGAAGCCCAAAGTACAGTTTGCGGCCGACTTTCCTAATGAGCCAGCAAAGTGAAATATTCCGGGTTGTCCTTGCCTGTTTGCTTATTTCAAGCGGAGAGAGATGTGCGGTACGTGCGGTGTTCAAATAGCAATTTGCCATTTGTATGCGTCATCCTCGTCCGAATCCCTTGAAAGTAGCATGTTCACTTTTTTCGACATGTACTAGGGCCATAAAGTTTCTGAGGAGCTT